GGCGGAGCCCCGGCGAGTCCTCGGACCTGCAGCGCGCGGCGGCGTAGCCGCTGGTCCGCACCCAAGGACACGAACCGGGCGAGACGCAGCGCAGACTGGCGACCCCAGCGACGGGATGGCGGCGCCGCGCGCTCGGCCCACCGGCCCACCGGCCCACCGGCCCACCGGCCCACCGGCCCACCGGCCCACCGGCCCACCGGCCCACCGGCCCACCGGCCCACCGGCCCACCGGCCCACCGGCCCACCGGCCCACCGGCCCACCGGCCCACCGGCCCACCGGCCCACCGGCCCACCGGCCCACCGGCCCACCGGCCCACCGGCCCACCGGCCCACCGGCCCACCGGCCCACCGGCCCACCGGCCCACCGGCCGATGGCGGCGCCGCGCGCTCGGCCCACCGGCCCACCGGCCCACCGGCCCACCATGCAGCCGAGAAACCATCGGAGTCTGCAGGCCTGCTGGAGGCCGGCAGACCCGGGCCCTCCAGACTCCCACGGGATGACCCAGCCCCACCCCGGAGGAGTGCTGGAGAAAGGCACTGGACCAGAGCGTCACCGAGTACGAAAGTTCTGTATTTCCAGCCCTGCCGTTGGGGGCGCGTCGGCTGCGCTCCCGGGCCCACCATGCAGCCGAGAAACCATCGGAGTCTGCAGGCCTGCTGGAGGCCGGCAGACCCGGGCCCTCCAGACTCCCACGGGATGACCCAGCCCCACCCCGGAGGAGTGCTGGAGAAAGGCACTGGACCAGAGCGTCACCGAGTACGAAAGTTCTGTATTTCCAGCCCTGCCGTTGGGGGCGCGTCGGCTGCGCTCCCGATCCCACCTCCCTCCCACCAAGCTGTCCTCTCAGTGGTTCTCCATGGAGTCCCAGGAGCTCGATCCCGCGCGCTTCGCCCTGAGCTGCGGCGAACCACATTGGCTGGGCAGGTGCGCCGGTTGGGCAGGGATGTTCAGAACACCCCGCCGCTTCGGCTGAGGCTTTGGACCCCCCCAGACCTGCCCTTGAGGATATTTCTGCGCTCGCAGGGTGCTCCAGGCCTCCCTGCCTCCCCTCATTTTGGGGGACTCAGGGCTCTCAGAGGAGACCCCTGCACATAAGCCAGCACGGCGTTCTGCAGGAAGCTCGCCCTCTGGGCCTCCTCTTCCCGGATGCGGATGATCTCGGCCTCCCGGAGCCGCAGCTTCTCTCGGAGAGAAGAATTCTCACTCTCTCTGTCCAGCAGCGCCTCCCGGTGTTCACTCGCGATCACTGCAGGCGAGAGGCTCAGTGAGGAGGGGGCACCTCGAGGGGACACGGGCCAAGCTCAGCCCTCCAGCTGTGTGCTAACCTTTCAACTGCCGCTCCAGGGCAGCCACCTTCTCTTTCAGCGCCTCCTGGGACACCAAGTCAGCCTGCAGGCGGCCCATCTGCTCCTGCATCTCCACCCTCACCCTGGTCACCTCAGCTACTTTTTCTTGGTCCTTGTTGCTCAGCTCCTGCGAGGCATGGGTTTGGAGGATGGACATGCACCCCTAGAGCCTGAGCTCCTTGCTACCTGAGCCATGCTACCTGCTGCAGCTCCTCCTGGCGCCGTCGCTGCCCCTCCAGCTGCAGGTTCAACTGGCTGGTCCGTGCCTGGGCCTCGGCTACCAACTGTTTCTGCTGCAGACAAGTACTCTGAGCCTCATCTCGTGCCTGGGCCAGCAGCCGCATTTTCTCCTCCAGGTGAGCCAGGCGATGTTGCTATGGGCATGGGAGGGGCTGCTGTACATGAGGGGCTCCTGGCCTAAACTCAAAACTGGAGGGACAGATGATCTGCATGTGGACTGACCTCCAGCCTTCTGCAAGGACCGGGGAAAGGACTTTGGTGTCACAGCCATCACTTGCCTAGTGCTGCAGCCACTTAACTTGTTCTGCCCTCAGAAGCATCCCCTTGCTGGGCTCTTTTCCTTAATCCCAAGCCAACTCTACCTGTCATCTCTAGCCTTCCTCTTAGCTATGCAGTACAGGCTACAGGCCAGGCCAGACCCCTTCACTTCCGGGCTGCATCCAGCCCTGTTGGCTCCTGGAACTCTGAGTTCCAGCCCTGAGGCCCACAGCGCTAGCCCATTTCAGCCAGGCTCATTTGCAAATTGCTACAACTGGCCCTGCACACCTGCTGCCAAGACTTACCTCCTCCAGGCGGGCCTGGTTCCTGGCTTTGATGAGCTCCTCCTCAGCCTGTCCACGCTCACTGAGCGCAGCTGCCTTCACGCGGCTCAGCTCCTGCATGGTAGACAGGCACCACAAGCTCATCCTCCTGCCTCTCCTGGGCCACCCAGCAGCCAGGCAGAAGAAACTACCTTCCACAAACCTCAGGGCTACACAGCTATCCTTTGATGAGCAAGAGTTCTAACTACCAAACAGGCCTGAATGGCACTCTTGGTCTCTGACCTTTCAAGGACATTGATGAGTGGGTCCCCATGGTGGAACTAGGGGGTGGCCCAGGGTCCTGAGGCCATGAACATTAGGAGATGCCACCCCACAGTCAACACAGGGCCCATGTGGTCTCACCTCTTCCAGGGACAGGCGCACAGCCTCTAGCCTCTGTACCCTCTCCTGCATGGCCCTCTCACTCTCCTCGAGGTGGCGGGTCATGTGATCCACCTGTCCAGATGTGGGGGTCAGGGCTGGCAAACAAAGGTGTCCCTAGCCTTCACCTATGGAATCCCACCCTAGAAAGCAGGTATCACTTGGCAAAGGCCTGTCCTGAGGGGCCTGGTGGGCACTAAGAACAAAGGCCCAGATCAGGGGAATAAAAAGCAGGGACGTCCACACCAGCCTGAACTATGAACACTGTTGCCTGCAACCCTGGTATCACCAAATCAAGGTTGTTAAGGGTACCCTCACCAACCAGGGACATGATACTATATCACACCAAGGCCATTCTGCAGACCCCAAGTGGAGCTGAGAGAGCTGGGGGTATCCACTAAGATAGCACCTCCTTAGAGCACAGCTTCTCCAAATCTTCCATGCTCTGTTTGGCTCTCCTCTTCTCCACATCCAGGCGCTCTAGAGGCCCAGTGAGGAGAGCAAGATAAGTCTTCCCTGGGGTCGCTCTGACCCTGGAACTCCCTTTCCCTTCCGTGGCAAGCCTGCCCATGCCCACCCTCGGCCTGAATGGCACGGATCTTCAGTTCGGCTGATGTGTTGGTCAGTTCCTGTCTGGTCAGAAACAGATGCTCCTGCTGTGACTTCACCTTCCGCTCCAACTCATCCACCTGCAAAGTAGGCACTACTAGATGAAGCTTTGCCCAGTCCTTCCACATACCTCCAGGCTCCTGGGGTGGCTGGCCCTATTCCCCTTGTGACCATGCTCCCGCCCCCATACCTGGCTTCTAAGCATCAGGTTCTTTTCACTGGCAGCAGACAGGTCCCTGAGGAGCTTAGACTCCCGATCTGAAGCTTCCTGAGGGAGAGGGGCAGGGTCTGGGGTTCTAGCCTGTCATGCTATTGCCATGCCCGCCTGCCTGCCGGTTCACAGCCCAGCTCCTACCTGCTGTTCCAGCTTGCGTTCCTTCTCCTGTCTCTGTGACACGCTCTGCCGTTCCTGTTCCACGGTGGCCAAAAGCTCTCCCAGGTCCTGGGCCTTCTGCTCTGACAGAGCCAGAGCAGCTTCCGTCATCTGCAGTCTACAAAGAGAAAGACCAGCCCCACCCTTGCTCCATCAAGAGTGTCACCTGCTTGGCAAAGATTTCCCGTTCTCACTGCTGCCAATCCCCCATTCAAACCCCTGCAGCACTTGTCCCTTCCTTTCATGTGGGCATGCCTCGAAGTCTCTAGGGTGTTTGAAGGCTCCTCTGCCCAAGCTTACTTGGCTTTGAGGGCATTGATGATGGAATGCCTCTCGTTCAGGGCTTCTTGAAGCTGCCCCACTCGTGCAGCTGATGCCCTGTGGAGAGAGATGCTTCTGTGAAATCCTAACCCGAGGGCCCGCCTGGTCTCTCCAGCCTCAGCAGGAATTGTTGTACATCTATGTCCAAAGCATCTCTGGTGTACCAGGCAGAGAGGAGGAAACACTCCACACCTGTCACTAATCACCAGCCTACTTGCTTGGAAGTTAGGGCCTTGTTCTCAGGAAGTTACAGATAGGGCTCAGGTTAGATCACACTCAAATCAGAGCCAGGTCCTGAGCCCCAGGGCCCACTCACCGGCTGTTCCTGGCCATCTCTTCTCGTTGCTTATTAATCGTCTCCATCAAATCCAGAAACTGGGGAGAGAGGTGGTCAACGCACCATTACGTCCAGAGCCTACCCACCCTACCTTGGTCAGGGACAGGAGTACAAACTCCCAGCAACATAGGCAGTAAAGGACTGTTACTTCAGCCCCACTACCTTGTCCAATGGGGCGGGGAGGGGGGTGTGGACTGGCAGGGGAGGATCAGGGCCCTGGCTACCCCAAAACTTGGAGGCCTGGAGGAAAAGATGGATATACCACAAGGGCAGTGGAGAAGGCGGCCAGGCCAGGCTGGAGCAGCCCAGGGTCAGTGAGGGCACCATGCTCACCTGCTTGGATTTCTCTTCCTGGAGGTGCTGGACCTCCTTGCTAAGGATGCTGGTGCGGGCCTGGTTCTCCTGGAAGGCAGTGTGCCGGTCCTGGTTGTGGTCCATGGCTTGCTCTGTCAGAAGGAGCCATGTTATTCACTGGGCTCAACTTTAGGGGGCAGTGGCTGACCCAGTCCTGTGCTGGCCGTGTCTAGAAGTTGGTCATCTGGGTGCCCACCCTGTGGAAGGAAGCATCTCTGCAACAAATCAGACACCCCTGTCCAATGCACCAGGGTGAAGCTCTTTGGGGGGGGCACTGAGTAAAACAGGATCCTGGAGTGGGGGGGGGTGTCTCTCATGCATGTGGGGGAAGCTGCTGCACTAGCACAAAAGGTGGGTTCCTCCTGGAACATCTGGCTTCCTCCACAGAGGAGCACAACATGACTAAGAGGTAGATGCTATCTTCTGGAAAGACTGACAGCTGATACGGCATGCAGTGATCCCAGGACTTATGTACCTGAGGCAGGAGGATCATGAGTTCAAGGTCAGCTAGGGCTAACAAGACTGACTCAGACACACAAAATCAAACAGAAAGCCTTTATGAAGACTATGCCTGCACAGATTCAGGGCTGGGAACAAGACAGCGGAGATGACAGAGGGGTCAGGCAGTGTCAGCAGGAGGTAGTGACCCTGCAGCACTGGGGTGTGTAGTCTAGGATTCCAGGTCTGAAAGCTTAGGCTTTGGTGGGTGGCACCATGTGACAGACTCTGCTGAGTTTGAAGCAAAGATATCATGAAAGGGACTCAGGATTCACAGATGGAGGTCAGTTTGAAGGGCAGGGCTCTGGCATAAAACAGCATATACACCCACTGGCAGCCCCACATCCACTCCACACACAGCACAGGTACAAACTTAGGGAGCCAGGGGAAAATGTCAAGAAGCTTCTCCCTAGCTGAGGCACCGACTGCCTGATGGCTGTCAGGAGAAGGACTTCAAGCCACAAGGTCTTAGTTTCTGGTTTGAAATAGGTGACACCCCCGACCCCCAATTACATGGGTGCTAAGTTGTAAGTAAAGACTAAGCCTCTGAGAGAAGCTGGGTGGTGAGCACCAAGTAGGCTATCTTCAGGCTGCTTCCTTCCTGACCTAGGCTAGTTGCTCATCCTGAGTGTACTGTCTGGAGTCCTGACCCACCCCCTTGAGGCCATGGTGGAGGGGCCTCTGACAAAGGGCTTCGTGCCTTGCTCCAAATTGCAAGCAGCTAGCAGCCCTGAGTGCCCATACCCACAGCTCTCAGGATGTCGCCAGGGATGTTGTTCCCAGCCAGGTCCAGCCTCCACAGGGTTCTGTTGCTGGGGAGACAGTTCACCAGGGCCCGGCCCCCCAGGAGGCCAATGTTATTCCAGCGCAGGTCTGGAAGGAAACCTGTTGTCACTCTGGGATGGAAGGTGCTGGCCCAGCCTAGGATGCTTTCTTTAGCATCTTACTGCCTGTGGCTGCCAATGGAGCAGGAGCTCAGGCCAGCACCTCACAGCAGTGACAAGGTACCATATAACAGAACCCAATACTCCCAGGTCTCATGAGGGAAGCAGAGTGCAGGAGGCCTCACCCAGCTGCTGGAGGCTAGTGTTGCCCTTGAGGGCTAAGGCCAGCTCCTCTGCTCCCTTGTGACTGATCTGGTTGTTGCGGAGATCCAGCTGCTGCAGAGTGCTGTTGGCTGCCAGGGCCCCACAAAAGGTGGCAAAGGCATCTTCCCATGCGCCAATGTTGTTCCACTCTAGGGTGAGGCTACAGAAGGGAGGACACTTGCTTGGCTCAGCAAAACAGCTGCCCCATGGGACCCAGGCATATGGAGGACAAGGGTTCACCAGGTTACTCCCCACCAGTAGAAAAGGGACAAGTGGTGTGAAGTAAGCTGGTTAAAGGGCTATATCCTCTGGGGCCAACCCCAAGTCACACAGAGAGGAAGCTGGGAGGTACAGGTGAGGCCCCACGTGGCCCTACCTCTGAATGGACCGGTTCTGTCGAAGGAGTTTTCCCAGAGCCTCAGCCCCTGCAGCTCGAAGGTTGTTACCCTAGAATAGAAACATCCTGGCCAGTCACTCTTTGTTACTCTGGCTCTGAATACTACTATGCTCGATAGACTCAGGCAGTGGACAAGGCCAGGAAGCAAGCTCTGGACAAAGGCATGGCTGTCATGCCTAGATTTCTGGCCTTAGTTGGCATCCTAGGGCCCCACTTCCTTGTGAGCACTGCTGAATCAGGCTATGCATAATGTGCTCACAAGACTTTGCCTTCAAAACACTCCCAACTCAGAGAGTTGTTCTGAGTTGCTGGGTGTTGGGAACTCTTACAGATGTAGTATTTGGCATCTATAAGATCCTAGGGCCCTGGGTCTCTCCTTCTACTGCCTAGAGTATAGGCCTGCTCACCTTTACATCCAGAAACTGCACAATGGTGTTGGCACACAGCCCTTGAAACAGCAGTGTGGCTCCTGTGTAAGGAAGGGAGCTGTCACTGGGGATCCACATCAGGACAGCTCCTCAGAAACGGAAGAGGGACAAGCTATTCCAGGGGTCCCCATGTTCTGGGTTCACAGTGGAAATGAGTTTCCCCATTTGCTGTGATGTCATGTTAGAAACATCTGTGCTTGCCAGGCCTGATCTCTCAAGCCAGCATGTGGAACCATGAAAGTTGGAGATGTGAAGCCTTCTGTTACAAAGTAACATTGAGCTCTACTCTGAGATTTTGGGAAGAGAAACAACTACTTATTTTAACTAAGGCATAAAAAAGAGAAAACAAGGGTGTGTGTGTATGTGTTGGGGAGGGGTTGTTCAAAGAGTTCCCTCACTGACAGCTAACCCAGCCAAACAAAATCAGGTCACCCGCACTGAGACAAAGGGCTTGAACCCCACTCAAGTTGCAAGGGCTCCTCCGAGGCCATGGGCCTCACCTTCCTCACTCAGCATGCAGTCGCTGAGGATGAGTTCCGTCAACACAGTCTGGTTCTGCAGCAGCTTGCCCAGGGCCCTGCAGGTGTCCACCGTCAGGCTCTGCGTGGCCAGGTCCAGTCGGCCTCGTGGAAGCTGGTGCAGTTGTTGCAGGACAGCTTCCTGCGGCTCAGCCCCACTCTCTTTGCACAGACGGCTGTAGGAGCGCCGGAACTCCTCCATGTCCCCGAGTGCTGACAGGGCCTCGCCAGCATGCCCCTAGAGACAGGCTGCACGTAAGCTTGCCAGGCCGGTGGCTGAGGGCCCCTTTCCCTTGGGAGTGTACATGGGGCCACCGTGCACGGGGGTGAACTGACCTGGTCCTAAGGGATAGACCTAGGAGGGCGGAATGGGAGGGTGGTCGGGACCGCTCGAGGAAGGCGTCCCAGTGATCAGGAGAGCCGGAGCAGGCAGGCGCATTGCACGTACCCCCGGCCGGCCTTGTGCCCCCAGCCCGCCCTTGCGACGTGGCCCCGGGCGGCTGGCGATGGGCGCTGGACGCGATCCCGCGCGCCCTAGTAGTATCCAGGAAGAGCGGTGCGCGCCGGGAAGGGAGCCAGGAACTATAATTCCCAGGAGGCATTGCGGGAGGCTCCGCAGACCAATGAGAGCGAAGGGCGGCTTGCGCTAACCTGGTCAAGCCAGTGGAACGGAGGCCGTGCGCTGCGGTTTATTGGCTGAGGGCTGGGGGGCGGAGCTTCAGGGCAGCAGCCGGCTCATTGGCTCGGGGCCTGGGGGCGGGGCTACAGAGGCGCGCTCCTTGTTCATTGGTTGACATGTGGGGCGGGGCTCAGTGGAGTGTGCACCGAGGCAGCTGCTATGGAGGAAGCGAGCTGCGGCTTCCGGAAGGTGAGGCTCTCCGGCGCGGCGCGGCGGGGTGCGGGTGCCTAGCTCCACACTTCAGCGGGCTCCGGTGCCTTCCTGGTGGGGGTTCCGCCGCCGGGTGGGCGTAGACGGAGCAGCCCGCACGCTCTGCGGCTGGACCGAGCGGGTCTGCAAAGGCTGGCCGGACGGCGCCTCCCTCCAGGCCGGCCCAGAGGGGGCCAGCCCGGAGCCACAGGTGGGCGGGCACGCACCCTGGCGCTAGCTGTCCGTTCCTTCCTCGGTGACGGGCACGGTCGTGCAGACGTCCGCCTGCTAGGGGGAAACTGAGGCAGAGCTCTTCTGTTCCACGGGTGGCAGGGCCCGGGTCGGCATCTGGGCGCTGCCTGCATCAGGCCAATGTGCGCGCCGAGCATAGTCAGGGCTGACCTCCCCATTCCGTGCACTGCTTGAAGGTGAATCGAGTTTTGAGGGCTTTGGCCAGAACCAGGGTTTTGGTCGTTCAGAGGACAAGATGAACGGGCCGCCCCATGGGTGGCCGGGACACCGCCTTTGAGCCCTCAGGACAGGGAATAGGAGTGTGGTGTGCCGCAGGTGCCTCCCTGACCTTGCCCTCCCGCAGTCACGTCTGTTTGTGCGTGGAGGGGCCGGCAGAGTGTGGTCCCATCCCTGGCCGCGGCTGGCGCTCCGGCCTGGGGCTCCTGGAGCAGGTGATACCGAGCGCGCCTTTTCTGGTCCGTCCCGGGTTGAGTGCCGGATAACAAGGGCCAGCAGGGGGCGCTGCTCACACGTTGTTCATGGAGCCTTCTGGCCCTTCTAACATGGTTCACCTGTGCCTCAGGCTTTGCCCATTCTCACGACCTCTTCTCAGCACCAGCACTGGGTGGGTAGCACCGTCCTCCATTGTGGCTGATGCTCGGCAATCCCAACTTACTTTCCTCTCTAGGCCATCTCTTTTAGGGCCCTTGCTGCCTTTTGCTGACCTTTGTCGCGTTTTAGGTGTCCCCACCGAATTCCCGAGCCCTGGGATTCCCACACTAACATTCTTACAGTCTCAAACAACACCCGAGGCCTGGCCAATCCCCTTCCACCATCACCTAGTATCATCTGTCAGAAGGTCCCACAGCCAGGTCTCCCTTGAGACCTAGGTAACAATGTCCTTCCAAAGTCAGTGTCATGCTTGGCGTGGTGGTGCACGCCTTTAATCCCAGCACTGGGATCTCTGAGTTCCAGGCCAGTTGGGGCTACATGGAGACGCTGTCTCAAAAAGACCACAAACAAAAACCAAAGTCAGTGTCACATCTCTGGACACAACTAGCAATGAATTTCAACTTCCTGTCAAAGCTCAACAGTCCTCAGTTGCCTGTGCAACTACCCCTACCCGCCCCAACCAGGCAGCTCAGCCCGGCAGCTCCCACCCCACCGGTCACCTACAACCGGCTCACATTCTTTAGTATCACGTGCAAAAAGGTAGCAGATGCAAGCCAGACAGTAGCAACGTCAAAGGGGTCAACACCCCTCAGAGCTACCAGGGTCCACTTTAGGAACATGGGCCTCCAGCTACCACCACCCCCATCTGATGGGACACCACCTCCCGGCAGTGAAAGGGGAGCATTGCCCCTCAGCCCCCAGACATGGGACTGATGTCACTGGACTTTCCCCATCTCCTTAGTGCTCCCTGGAGCCCAGAGGCCCAAGTGGCCTCCATGGCAGCACATGGGATCCCTTGTCCCCTGCAGGCCTTTCTTACCAACCCCTCTGAACATCCCCCTGCCCAAAGCCCAACTGGTCTCATCCCCTCACCCTGAGAAAGGTGGTACTGTTCCTAGCTGGAAGTCAGCCATGTTCCCTCCAGAACTGATGCTGAGGGGCCTGTGGTTGATGCACTGACCCCTCCCCTTCCTCCAGGAGCTGGTGAGCAGACTACTGCACCTGCATTTCAGGGACAGCAAGACTAAAGGTACAGGGCACCAGTGGGTTGGGAGGGGTGTGGGGCTCAGGCAGGGCTGCTCTTCCACAACCTGCCCTCTCCCTTGCAGTGAACAAGGATGCGTTGCAGCTTATGGTGGAGCTCCTGAGGATCTTCGTGGTGGGTGAGCCAAGGGGCCCACGGTACCAGGAAAATGGAGATCCTTGTTTTTTCAATGGATAAACTTTTTCCCAGCTTCCCACCAACACCTGTCCCTGAAAAGAGCCCTTAGGTCCTCGAGGGCTGGCGGTGCAGGAGGGCCCAGACAGGAGTAGGGTTATTGAGACCACCCAGTGTTTTCCACCTCCCTCCTTCCCTGGTGTTTCATCAGAAGCTGCAGTCCGTGGGGTCCGGCAGGCCCAGGCAGAGGACCTGGACATTGTGGATGTGGATCAGCTAGAGAAAGTGCTTCCTCAGCTGGTATGTGGGGTGCAAGAGTGGCAGCTGCAGCAGCCCAGAGTGACGCCTATGTAATTGTTCTAAGCATACTTCTCCTCCATAGCTCCTGGACTTCTAAAGGTGTCCCCTCCTGTGGCCTGATAGGTCTGGTGTGGATTCACAACAGCATCTATACCCAGTCCCCAAGTCTCCCAGCTTCCAAGGGATGGCAAGATCCCTCCCAGCAGCTGTTGCCCTTCCTAGTCTGTCCTCTGGCTCCCAGGCCTCTGGGGGTCCTTGTGAGACAGGTGCACAGGGAACGGTGGACCAGCCTGCCTCCCACCACAGCCACCCCCCTTAGCCTGTGCTTTATAAACCAACCAGCCGCTGGCAGTGCTGCCTCCTTGCCACCCAACATCAAAGCTTCTGTGTAGCCTTTTAACCACCTGATCCCCCTCCGAGCTGTAAATTTGTTCTTACAAAGCAACATCAATAAATCAACACCATCTCTCCAAGGCTTTGCCTTGCTGCCATTAATCACCCCAAGTCTAGTTGCTTCAAAGCCTGAGCCCCATGCTCCTCCCATCCATCTCAGTGGGACAAATGCAGGGCTCTCAGGAAGGACAGGATAACAAACAGCATGTGTGCACACGCTGCAGTGAAACTGGAGCCTTCACACATGTGGCCAGTTCAGTCGGAAAATGTATTCCTGCCACAGGCCATTACAGCTGCCACTAGCAGGCAGTGGAGTCCAGGACCCAGAGGTGAGACCTGGAGACAGGCTGCCAAGGCTGCGCCTGCCCTGTGGTCATGCTGAACTGCAGACCAATCGAGAGGCAGGGTGCAGGTCAGAGCTGTGAGGCCCACCTGGAAGCCCAGTCCAGGCTGGAGCCTGCTGATGTCCAGGCTTGCTACCCTCTACACATAGTGCCACTGCAAGACTTGGAGCCCCTCACTGGAGCTTGAAAAGCTGCTCTGACTGCAAGTCCAGAGTGGAGGAGACACCATGGAGCACTCAGGAATTAGGAGACCCAGTCACCTAGCATCAAGGCCTAGAGCTGGGAACCAGAGTATCAGGATTGGGGGGGGGGGGTCCAAGTGGGTCCAGAGCAGAAGGAACAACAGTTGCCCTCACCAGGCCTAGAATAGACTTGAGGGGCAACCTCTGAAGGCAATGCCCAGGCTGGACTGAGCTGGCAGACAGCTGCTCCAAGTGCCTGTACTCTTCCCTTCCGCAGTGGTTTCCAGCTTCCAAGCACTAGAGAGCAAGTGGGAGACAGGAGACCTTATTTGGGGGGGGGAGGTACTGGCTGGTGGGGGACACAGCTCCAACCAGCTTAAGTGCTGGAACTGGTCCTGTGGTCCTTCTAGACACATGTGGAGGGAGTCACTAGGACATCCCAGGCCAGGCCCTGCCCAGGGTAGCCGTGTGGTAAGATAAGTGCCTACTTCCTCTTCTCTGGCCCCAGGTTGCAGGTAATTTGCCAGGGAGGCGCCTTCCTCCCACACTTCCGTCCACCCAGGAAAGGGGTTAATGAGGTCACCAGCTCCCCTGGGGCCCTGGTCTCAGGCCCTTTGGAGAGACACCTCAACCCTTGTTAATGGGATACCCATCAGTTCAGCCCAACTGTTGCTGGGCAGCAGCAGAGTGCGTGGAACAGAAACAGGAGGACCTTGAGAGAAGCTCCAGTCTTTATTCCTGCTTGGGGGGGGTGGTGTCCTGTGGCTGTGATTGGCACCTCCAGGCTTGTAGCTCTCACCTCTTGCTGGCTGGGATGCAAACACCAGAATGACCACGGGGCCGTGGGTTCCTGCCCAGACACCCTGCCCCACCCAGCCAGTCCACAGCAGGCACCTGGCAGCTTTAGCCACTTGGGCACGTTACCCAGGCTCCTCACAGGCTGGGCTGTTTCTGGGATGGGCTCTGGGGGCTCCAGTGCCCCCTTCTCAGTAGTTGGCTCGGATTCCAGGGACACTGGGTCAGGGGCTGGCAGCAGGGGTGGGGACCCAGTGGCCCTGGACATACACCTAGGGGTGAGAGACCAAGGCCAGGGTGGTGGGCACAGCCTTGGAGGGGCCCCCAACCCCTCAGAAACTTACCTGGCTACGAGCACATCAGCCGCAGATGGGGAGACGGTGTGTTCTAGCAGCCCAGGCTCCAGGTAGAGACCTTCAGAGGCCAGAGCCCACCCTCAGCCATAGATGAAGCCCATACTTCCACCCACACACTACAAGTAGGGTCTGGCTAGGCAGATGCCCCAGAGAGATGAGTATTGGGCTCATGAGGACCTCAAACTGAATGCCCTCAGGGCATCTTACTCTGGGCATTGGGTAAGCTGGGATTCATGGAAGGGCCTGTGGGCAGGGGACAGCAGCGGGGCCTCACGCACCTGTTGATTCCTCAGCTCCGAAGTGCACAAGGGCAGCAGGGAAGAGGTTTGCCTACAGGGAGGGCAGAAGAGGGGCGGGCTCAGAGGGCCAGATAGGCAGGGCCTAGGGTCCACCCCTTCCTCTGGCACTCTGTCCAGCATGGACCACAGCCGCCGCCCCCCCCCCGCCAGGACAGCCAAGCACCAGCTGAGAGCCCACTTCATTTATGTGAATTATGGTGTCCTCTACTTCCTGCTGCCCAGCTACAGGGTCAGTAAACGTCTGACATTTGGAAGCCTACAGTTTCTTAGCTTGTGACTCGGGTGTATCCTGTCCAGGAGGTCAATGGAGACACAGGGCTGTTGGGTGGGGGTCTAGGTCTAGGTCTCCTAGCCTGACACTGTCTGGAAGTGGGGGAGACAGAGGCCTCCCACACACACACCTGCTTATGCCCCAAACGGGATGTGGGTAGGAGTGTCTTCTTAAGTTTAGGGATGTACCCAGAGCCAATGGGAGACTGGAGTGCCTTGAAAAACAGACCCAGGCATGAGGCAGGGCCTAGCTCCAAGAGTCAAGGTGCTCTGGGGGTGGGGGCGTCCCAGCTTGAGAGATGCTTGGAAGACTCCAGCCTGGGCAAGGTTGTCGCCAATGGACCAAGGAGGAAGCTAGAGATCAACCTAAGCTCCTCCTGGTCCACCCAAACAAAGGTAGCCAGTGCTCTGAAAACCCAACATAATGCCTAGGATCAGAGCTCCCTAGTCACATCTGTCCAAAGGGGTGGAGGGTTAGGGTAAGGTTTCTGTTCAGGGACTTGCTCTACTTGTTGAGGCACCCGTGTGGGTGGAAAGCAAGAAATAGACTGGGTCACTTCCTCCCTGACACGCTAGACCCATGGCTCCAAGGCCTCCCTGACCTGACAGCTAGGTGATGGTCTAGCCAAGGATAGCAGATGTTGGCGAGGCCTCAGTATCACACATCAGAATGCTTTCCTCCTCTATGGCCTCTGTACCCAAGGGAGGTGGGGGCTGGGCCTGGCAAAGGCCAAGGGCAGCAAGGAACCTGGCAGGACCTGGGAAAGGGCAGCAGCTGCCGGCTGAGGGCATTCTTTCCCATTCTTTCCGTGCAGCTCCAGGCTTCTGTGAGTGCCACAGGCTGGCGGGGTGGGTGGGGTTGGGGGATGTTAAAAGATTAATAAGAGCAAGCTTCAAAGGCCAGGCCCAGGAACGCTGAAACCTCAGCCTCCAGCCGGCAGCAGAAGGACACACACAAGGGCGGTGAGTGCTTTGAAACCCAATTGTGAGGACTGCGATCAAAGCGTCATGAGAAAAGGCCTATGGGGTGGGCGGGGGGCTGCCCTAGTGCCCCTGGAGAGGCGCCAGAAGGAAGCCAGGGAGCCAGGCAGGGGGCATGGGGAGGACAGTTGCCAGAACCATCTCAGCACAGCATGGCAGCTCTGCCTCCCACCAAGTAGCCTCGCAGTGGCTTTCTGCAGCACTGCCAGGGACGGAGGGGGTTCACAGGCAGGCTGTGGCCCTACTCCTTCTGGCACTTCTGGGAAGCCTGGTTGGCACATCTAGAAAATATCTGTTTCCCTCCGGGCACAGGGGATCACTTGAAAGATCCACTGAGAAGGTTGTCATGGAGCAACACCAGGGTCACTACAGCACCTGGCAGTGCCTGGGAATCGCACAAAGGGGCAAGAAGAACCCAGAGCACTGGGGGAGAGAAGGCCAGCTGAGGGCTCTGTCCCCACATGCCTGTAGCAAGCCCCAAAGGGGAGAGAGATGGTGAGGGGCTGGGTCTCCATATGAACCCAAGAATGAATGTTCCTGAGCCCAATTATACCTCCCCCACCCCAACCGAGGCCTCAGCTGGGTGCCCAGTACAGCGTGAGGCTTGTACCCTCTTCAGGGCCATAGGACCACTTGGCTTCTACCCCAAAAGCAAGGCTGCCACCTTCTCTAGATCCTGTGAGAGGGCAAGGCTACCCTACAAAGAGGCTTTGTAGCACTGAGCTGCCTGCCTACTCCAAGCTTGCTTTAGCCATCACCAGGATCAGACCTGTTCAGGGGAGGGGGCAGTGGGCAACCTACTACCAGGTTCTCTTTCCCAGAGGGCATGGGCTGTACACACCAAGGGTAAGGGACAGGAAAGTCCCCAGCTGGAAGATTTCCCTATGGGCTGTCACACCTGTCCCAGCTGGGACAGGGTGTGTGTGTGTGTGTGTATGTGTGTATGGACACTGTTCAGTTCTGTCAGCAGCAGAGTGTGGGGCCTACCTCTCCTGTCACCTCTTCCTCTCTCTGAACTTGGAGATGGCTCACCCTCTAGGCTGGGGCAGGAAGTAAGGAGACAGTGGGGAAGGGCCAGCTCCTCCTGAGTTCACCTCCCCTGTCACCCTTCAGTACCTGCTTGAAAACCCTGCCATTTGACTTGGGTCTCTGGGATCCCAATGGAATGAAGGGCAAGTGGACAGAAGACTACCCCCAACAAAGGGGACTTCACCCTCAGCTCACTCTAAGGCCCCCATGGGCCGTTCTTCACCCTGGGGCTGAGCACCAGCCAGGGCTCCAGGCTCCAACCTGGTCCCCCGACACCCAGCACAGACACAGAGAAGGGTGGGACAGGACACCATAAGTTTTAAGCCACACCCTCCCAGGCCTTGGAGACCACTCTGAGCTCAGGGAAGGGGTGGGGGTGCGAATGATCAGCAGTTCCCAGAATACACTGTAGAGGAAGAGAGACAGGACCTCTTTATGTTTCGGGGGGCAGGACAGGCCAGATGAGACCTGCTTCCAAGGTCTCTAGGCTTTCCCTGGCCTCTCTCCCTTTGGTCTCCAGGGCCTTGACAGGGAGGAAGTGGGACACTGCTGGGATGGGGCAGGGCTAGGGGACTGGAGCTCAGGCCCAGCAGGTATGCAGTGTATGGGGGGCTCTCATGGTCCTCCCCGCCCCCACTGCCCTCAGAAAGCCCTTGCTCCCCTGGGCCAGTGGCACCCCCTACTCGCACTCCAAATGGTCTGCTGTGGAGGGACACCCCTGGGCAGCAGAGCCCAGCCCTGCTGAAGCTGCACCCCCTGCTCACCTATGGGCTGGGGGGGGGGGGGGCATCCTTCCCTGAGCCCTGCCAGTTCTGCCAGTGGTGGGCAGGGACGCCACCCCTCGGGAGAAGGCCCCGGCTCCCCCAAGGTGTTCGGTGGTGGCGCCCCCCCGGGCAGACGAACCCCGCCCCGCTGAGGCGCCCCCCCCCCCCCCCCCTGGGGGGGGGGGGGGGGGGGGCAGACATCCTTCCCTGAGCCCTGCCAGTTCTGCCAGTGGTGGGCAGGGACGCCACCCCTCGGGAGAAGGCCCCGGGGCTCCGGATGGAGCTGAAGGATGAAAGGAGACAGCTGCTGGTAGCAGGGGCAGAGTGTCACCAGGAATCAGGCAAAGGCGGATGAGAGGCACCCAGGGGCTGGGGTGGGGGAGGCTGGCCACTGGCCCTCTCAGAGCATCTTCCAGATTCAATGTTTATCAACAGGCTGGCCAGCAAGGCAGGGAGGGGCAGAGATGAAGGGAAAAGGCCCGGCGCCTGGAGGTTCATGGGCCAAGATGGGAACCACAGGGTCATAGGCCTGCTCTGGGCACCTCCCCGCTCTGCCTTGCTCCAGGGCCATGTGGCTCCACTTCCTCCGACAGCCCTTGGTGAGCTTCCAGCTCGCCTGCCTGTTCCCTGCCCCATCTCACCCCAATGGTGGCAGCTCTAGGCAGGCAGTTGAGCTTGTCACCCCCAACGCAGACCTCTGAGGAGGGCTTCAGGCGCCTCTGTTGTTAATTAAAATATCTGAAGACTTTGAAAAGGAAACCATTAGGCCAGAGGGGCTAGGGAGGCCCCAGCCTACTCTCCCAGGGGGTGAAGGACAGGACATTCATTCCTCTGAGTTCTGCCAGGCAGCCAGCAGGGCACAGGGTCAAGTGGTCTCAGTCTTGGAGCCACTCAGGACCTCCAGGAGGGCCTGGGGCCAACCATGGCATTCCTACCAGAGACCAGCAGGGGTCCAGGGGAAAGGCTGTGCCCAGGACAAAGTGGCAAAGATATGGCCAGAAGCAGCCTAGGGGTTTTCTCTGCCTATCAGGCCTACCAGGCCCCTTCCTCACACAGAGGCTAGCCGTGGGGCTGGTGTCACTCAGCAGCCCAGGCAGGGGCCAGGACCTCCAGGCAGCCCTAGCTGGGGACAGCAGGCCAGCCAGTGGGGGGCAGGCCCATCCCCACCCTGGGGCCAGGCAGGAAGCGGAGGAGGTTGGAAAGCCCTGTCAGAAACAACTTCAGAGGCGCACTGCTCCCTCTGAATTCACCGGCTCTAAAAGGCTTTATTACCTACCTGCAGTGCCTGCCAGGGCACTCCTTCCCAACCTGACCGCAGCATGGCGTCCTGCCCTCCCAGCACAGCCCCACCCCAGCAGCAGGCCCTGTGAGGCAGTTGATACCTGAAAGAGGGTCAGCGTGTGGTCATCCAGGACCATTTTGGGAGGAGCGATAACTGTGGAGAGAGGAGGATGTCTGTCAGAACACTGGTAGCTCCTACTCCTCAGGACAGACAGGCCTCAGGTAGGCACTTGTGAAAAGCCCCTCAGGTGTTGGTCCTTTACCCACCTCTGCTGCTCAAAGGGGCCCTTACCACCTGGAGGCCAGCCATGCCTCTAGGCCCACTGCCCCCCTTGCAGCCTGAGCCATAGGGTGGGACTGGGAAAGAGGCCAAGCTGGGGAGCTGGGCACTGACACTTCCCTCCCAGGGACCACAGGGTTGGGCAGCCAGACAACTTGGCTTCTATAGCAAAAACACCTCAAGTCCCAGCCTGGAGGGAGGTCACACCTTGGAGCCTAAAAGAGGGAAAAGGGGACTGTGCCAGACAGATGCAAGGCAGGCTGGGGACAGGGACACAGCTGGGGACAGGGACACAGGTGGGGACAGGAACTCACACAGCTGGGGACAGGGACTCACACAGGTGAAAGGAGAGCTCAGGATTCCCCAGGTGGCTCCGAACGAAGTCTCGCAGGTCCCCCACTGTGGAGAAGCGGGAAGGTGAACAGAAGGACCAGACAGGCCAACCCTCCTGACATCCATTGCCCAGGCTCCTGATGGGAACCTGGGGGCACCAGCCTGAGGCTGCCCCTGGCAGTGCAGACTCAGCATTCACTATGTTGGTAGAAGCTGAGACCCAGATATGGGCACTCGAAAGTGCCATCCCCAGCATCCTAGATGCTCAGCTGGCTGAACCGTAGTACAGGCCACATCCAGGATCCCAACCCTGATGCAAAAGAGGCCTGCCTACCCACTGACAGTCATGCCCAGCTAGGCCCATAGCACTCCCAGTGTCTCTCGGGTCCTAATACCCCAACCTGAGCTCTGACAGGCCAGGAGGCCCCTCAGTCAGGCCTGGGGCTACCTCATCCTCACTGTCTTAGGATAGGCCACCAAGGTCCACTCCAGCTCTAGTGGCTTTGATGCCTTCTTCTCAGGTCTGCTCATGCCCAGAAGACTCAGGGTCATGGGACTCCGGGGGCAGAGCTGAGCCTCTGTGAGAAGACCCAGCCCAAGGCCTGAGCTGGGCCTGGCTCCACCTAACGCTGCAACCTCACAGCCATTTGAATGTCATGCATACAGGGTGACCTCTGGCAACTGCCCCAATCTTCCTAGAGCTCAAAGGGCAGTTGCTATAGTCCTATGGCCTGGAACAACTCAGCAGAACACAGTGGCCCTCCGCAGACCACTGTAGGCCCTCACCTGTCTCACTGGGCCGGAAGAAGCCCTGTAGGATGTACCGGTCAGGGAACAGGACCCTCAGCGCCACCTGGGCAGGAGTGAACAGAATAGTCATAAAGGGCAGACAGAGGTGCACCCAGCACAGGGAGGGGCCTCACTGCTCAATCCCCACTACAGGAATCTCAGCTGCCCCACTCCTGGCTATCTCCCATGTTCTTCAACAGAGCTGAGCCACAGCTGTGGACAAGGACAGTCAAGCACCCACATGTACAGACAAGTGCACTCTAAAAGTACGGCAAGCTCAGCAGTGGTGCACTCCTGTAATCCCAGGACTCAGGAGGTAGGGACAGAGGATCAGGAGTTTAAGGTCATCACTGGCTACACAGCCTAGACTACATGAGACCCTCTCTAAATAAATAAACAAGTAAATCAAGTACATCAAGTTATCCTTCAAATCTGCTCTGCTGTTTGGATGTAGTGGCACATACTTGAACCCTGTGCTCAGGAAGTGAGGCAGGACACTGAGTTCCAGGCCAATCTAGGCTGCGTATCAAGACCCTGTTCAAAAACAGAAACAACAAAAGAAAAAAACCCAAACACCACCAAAATATATTTTCATCACAGGGCTGGGGTGCAGTCCATGGTCGAGCACTTGCCTAGCATGTACAAGGCTAAGTTCAACTTTCAGTGCTACCAAAAAAAAAAAAAAACAAAAAACGCTAGGATTTTCATTACAAAATGTTAGAGGATTAGCCGGTTAATCCTGAGCCTCAGGTACACAGGCCTGTCACGCTACCTACCACATGTCCAACGTGGCAGGGCCTGAGCTATGGGCCACCTGTGGCATGTCACAGTCACTTGCTGGGGCATGTCCCCACACGGGCACAAGAAGCTCCTGCTCACCTTTGGGTAGCGCTCCAATTTCTCCTTCATCTGTGCCTCCCTGAAGGCCTTGGTCACTAAGGGGGCTTCTTCCAGGCGTTTCCTGTGGTGAGGCAGGCCAGGTCCAGATCTCCTGGCACATCAGCTGTTCCCCGCCACCACCTAGCCCCAAAAGCAACTGGCCTCCCCCCTGCTCTCCAGGGTCTAAGGGCTACTCTCTTCCAAGAGGGCAGGAAGGGACCAAGGTGAAGGGCACACTGGGCAGCACCCGTTCAGGCCGTTAAGGATGGAAGATGGCTATCAGGCCAGGGGTACTCACCGCTCACTTTTGAGCTGGGCCAGGCGTCTCCTCACATCATCTACGGTCACCTCAAAGAACTCATCAGGCACTTCTGCCGGCCAGGCCTGCAGTAAGTCCTCCAGGTCAGGATGGCACACCACAGGGTCTCGGTCAACAGGCTGGGGAACAGAGGGGCTCAGCTGACACAGCTTTGGGGGTGGGTATCTCAGCCCCTACAGTTGGAGTGGCCATGCAGACTCTCCATCCCAGACCATCACTCCACAGCCCACGTGTAATACAGGACCAGAGTGGGGCTCGGGACAGTTTAGAACATCTGATGTGAAGATGCTCATCTGTCAGTGCTGCCAGTGGGAACTTCGGGCTAAAGGGCACCTCAGGAAGCTTCCCTGAAAAGTTCTTGCCTCAATGGGAGAACCCCAAGAGCAGGAAGCCTACTTGGGGAGCAGTACCATGGTGTGAGGCCACGTCAGGGGCTCCAGAGGGGAGGAGCAGCAACAGCCACCAAATTAGAGTGTTGGCAAAAACCCCAGCCGGCTGCCCCTACTGCCCTCTCGGCCACAGCCCCATGGTGGAGGCTGACTCCACCGCTCCCTCCCTGGGGAGCAAGCTGGCTGGCCCTCCCTCTGCCCACCCGGGGACAGAGGAAGGGACAGCGTCACTCCTAATTGGCATCAACAGCAATGAAAATTACAAGGTAGGCCTGGTCCATTTGCAGTGCCTGGGAGGGTGGGACATCTCAGTGCTGGGGCCACCCCATGGAGCCAGGCCTGACAGAGGTGCCCAGCTAGGTTGGCAAAGCCCATGTTGGGTCCTGTCCTGCAGACAAAACAGCTGTCACGGCAGGGTGTGTGACCCCAAGAGGTAGTCTCTGATCGTCTGACAACCTGAGGACAGGTTGTCTGGCTCTGAGAACAAGTTCCCCCTCCTTGGGCTCCTGCAGCCGTGGCAGAGTCAAGCCACAGCTCTAACATTCTGAGGGTGGATGGTTCACCCTACCCAGCTACCAAGGGACCTCCCCTCAGTACACTCATAGTAGGTGCAGTTTGAAACATACCTGCAGGTATGCATGCAGCATACCTGTCCCAGGTGTCTCCAGGGCTGTCCCCCCACCAGCCACTGTCCCTGGACACCAGGTCCTGCAGTCCACTAAGCCTGACTTCACCATAATACTCTAGCCATGGAGTCCCTATGACCCAGCAGCATGGCTGGGAAAGACTAGCTGAGGCCTGGGCAGGGACCCACAGGTGGCTGACCAGCACCCCAGGAGGCTGCCCCTTCAAAGCCACAACCATGCAGTGGCTGCTGCGGGCAGTCTGCTCCAAAGCTCTTTATAACATGATGCCAGGCGCCAGACTGCCCCCATGGCCACAATGCCTGCATTCCACAGGGCCATGAGCTCTCTAGGCTCCCAGGGGAAGGTGGGCAGAGCACAGATGCGCCCTGAGCTAGGAGCTGCGGCTTCCACGAGTGACTAGTTCAGGGTGGGCTAGTACTAGCCACCTGGGATCCTAAGACAATGTAGCCTTGGGCACTCAGCTCAAAGAACAGAGCCTCAAAGCAGGCTTCCTGGCTACCAGTTCCAGACACTTCCAAGGAACAGCTTTGGGGCATGCAGATGACCCAAGAGGGGACTCTGCATCCCAGCAGGCAGGTGATGTGCAAAGGATGACATCATTAAGAGCCTGACCATACAGATAGGGCCTCCTGCCCCAGGATGTGGCTACAGGGCAGAGGACAGTGCCAACAAAGTCAGTCTTGAGCACTGGGCCAACATGGGCTCTCCCAGGTACTTCCTAAGCACAGCCTGGGGGCACTAGCGAGGGCAGTAGATCATTGGCTGCATCCAGGACAGGGTACACAGGCAACATCAGTCACCAGCTTCACACTGCTGAACAGCGGCTACATTTCAATCAGAAAAATAAAACTGACAGCTTTCATTGCTCCAGATCGGCCTCCTGAAGCCTCCTCTGCTCAGGAAACCACAAAGGACAGTAGCCCAGGAGCCACAATGACGGTACAGAGGGGTTCCTGGGCCCCTCAACTGGACAAAGAGCCCACTTAGGACAGCACTGCTATAACTCGAGGGCAACAAGGTGAAGGGCCCACTGGCACCTGCTGGAAAGGGTCAGGCCAAGTGAGTGGCTCCAGAGGGGTCTGAGCCTCCTGAGTCTCCCACAATACCCCACAGAGTCTGTGGCTGGGCTGGTAGGAAGCCAGTGGTGGCAGAGGAAGCCAGCAACAGAGTGGAGAAACTCCATCAGCCCGCAGCCCTCCCAAGACAGCTTCCATTCCTGAGCCTCTGGGCAGGGAGGGACTGCAGCAAGACAGTCTCCAGCCAGGAGGCCACACAGCTGTCCCCCAGCCCTGCCTGTCCCTGTTTACTCGGAATGCTCTGCCAGTGCCTGGCCCCCATCTGCTGTCCTGCTAGCTTCAACAGTTTATGCTCAGCTTCCATTCTAGGTGCAATATGGAGATGTTTTTGGATGGGGAACACAAGTCTGGGGATGAGACATCAGGAAAAAAGAAAAGCATACAATGACAGCTGTGAGGGACAGCCAAGCCTGAAGGGCTGGGGAGACACCAGAGTCTACACTGGTGCCTGAAGGAAACGGACTGTTCCCACCCGCCAGCTGAGGCAGTGCTAAAACCCAAGATGATGTCCTGGAGCCCCAGTATGCCTTGTAGGGGAGGCTGTAAAAGACTATGGTCCATTTGGCTGATGCTGGGAGAGGGCTGCAGGAAAGCCAAAGACTCCTAGTCACCACAGTGAGAGGCTTAGGTAGGAGGCTTAGGATGAGCCAGCTGTGCAGCTTCTGGGGGAATGGGGATTTCAATGCAAAGGGCCTCTGAGAGGGAGTAGGGGGCGTTGGGGCCCTGTGCATGTTGGGCCAAAGTCCTTAAATTAAGGCTACAAGGTCAAAGCATGTTATGATTGCTATGTGACAGGTGAGGAAACTGAGGCACAGAGTGCCTGAGGGGCAGCTGGCATGGAAGAGTGTAGGCTTCGAGGGTGGCTGGCCTCGCTGTTGCCTAGGGGGCTATAAGAGACTGATCTTGGAACAAGAAAAGCCCCTTGCTAAAACCTGTCCAGGAGGATTCAGTTCACAGGAACAGAACAGATTCCAAGCCTTACAGACTGACCAGAAAGGAGGTAAGGAGGGCAGGAAAAGACCAGGAGGGAGCCAAGCAGGGTAGAGGCAAGTCTCCTACACCCCTGCACTCAACCCCAAGGCAGCTAAGAGCTGGATACAGGATGCACACAGGAGAGCACCCACAAGGGGCAGGCTGACGGTGGACAGGGTCAGTGGGACGTGGAGAGAAGGGAAATTATGGGAGGAGGACACAGTGCAGCCTGACCTGAGCCAGGCATGGCAGGGTCTGGTGGGCACCGGGAAGTCCAGCTCACATCAGAAGTGGGCCTGCTGAAGTTTCCTTTTCTTGACAGTGATTTTCCAGGACATGATGACAAACAGAGGTGACCTCAAGCTCAGATTTTCCATCTTCTTCATGAGGGCCGCCTGCTCCCTCTTCCCTTGCTCTTCCTCAGCAAGGTTGGCCAGACAACGGCTTTGGTGAGAGGGAATGTGAAGCGTTTCCCCTGAGGCTTTGAGCTTAAATGAATCACTGTAAGAGGGATGCTGGCCAAACCTCCTGAGTTACTCACAGGGCTCAGCCACCCTGGGGAAGGAGGCGCCTGAGCACATGGACACCATCAAAGGCCCTGGGCAGCACAGTAGGAGGTGGCTATGCCAGAGTACCAGGCCCAGACTCGGGTTTGGGGGCAATGCAGAGGGGTGCTGCTCCACATGCCGTGCCTCTGAGGGAAGGAGGAGCTCCACACCAGCACCCGATGGTACCCCCCAACGGGTTTTTGTTCCCGAGGATGTGTCTCTTAACTGCCCAGATCCTCTACTGTGAACATGTATTACTTCCATCCCAAAGAAATGACCAAGGGATTTGGGTTTTGTTTTTTTTTTTAAGAAAGCAGGGTTGCAAACCCTGGACCATGGCAGGGAAGCATGCATTTTGGAGCATCTTGCCAAGCCGCACAGGTACGTATCAGCTCCCTGAAGATAATGGCTAGATCAGTGGGGCTAGGCATGAGTGCCCCTCATCGACACGGCCTGGCCCTACCTGGCAGCTGCTCCTGGAGGCTCAGGAAAGGCAAACAACTGAGAGAGAATGGGACATGCCCACAAGACAGACTAGGAGCCCTGGTTAGACGGAAAAAGTGGGCTCCTTGCATGGCAAGACCATCCTCCATCGCACCTGCCCCATGACCAGCAATCTCCGGATTTATTCATTGAGGCAAGCAACTGCCAATCATCGTACTACAAAAACAACCAGACAGGAAGAGCACTGAAGAGACGGCTCAGCAGCTAACAGTGTGTATGGCTCTTGCCCAGCACCCATATCTGGTGGCTCACAACCATCTGTAATCCCAGCTCCAGGGGATCAGACACCCTCTTCTGGCCTCTGAAGGGACTTCACCCGTGTGACATACTCCCCACACAGACATGCACATATACACATAATTTAAAATAAAATCTTTAAAAAACAAAACAAAAAAGCCAAGACACTTGGCCAGCCACCTACAACGTCTGAACTATCTGCCAGGAAACCTCAGTATACTTTTCAATTAAGGTACGACCTACAGCTCTTGAAAGAGTTAAGCTTGGGTCTCAGAGCCTGAGGGTTGTCACAAACACCCACTGAAGCAGCAGGGCTCTTGGCCAACCTATGGAGATGGCAGATACAGGAGGCCCCAGGCTAGCAAACAGCAGCACAGCCATGGAGCCCCTACCCACCACAGCCACAGAGCCCCCATCCACGTGGCACCAGACACCGGCCACCCTGCCCTGCCCTACATGCATGGATCCAGGTAGAAATTCTTACCAAGTCTGGCACTATCACCCACTTCATACCCTCTACATCCCCATACAGGTGCTCCCATCCCCATGAGTACTAACCAGCCACCAGCCTGAGGTGTAGAGGGTGAAGGCCAGACTGCAAGCAGGGCGCTGGGCAGGCACAGAAGAAATCCCCCAAGGAGGAGGGGCGGGCAGGCCAGCAGCAGTCAGTCCTGCCTGGGAGGACCCAGGGCCTTTGATCAGGGTCGGCCCCTGTGCCAGCTGCTGGGGAGGCCACAGGCATGGGG